CCCAAAATTGGAAGAGCCCAATTCTGCCTACGATGGGAGACTGGAGATTGAAAGTTTCGTATCTTGCTGAAATGGCAAAGATTTCGGCTTACTTGAAGAACCATTCGAATGAACAATTTTTATCACTATGGAGAAGATGGATTGTTTATATTCAAAAGAAACACAAAGTGGTAGAATATAATTTAGGTTTCTAGATTTTTTTAAGCTTGTTTACTCTTTCTATCCTTTCTTGTAGATTAAGATACTTTGTGGAGTTAGAGATATTAGTATTTGTTTACTTTTATATGAATATTATCCTGGGATTAGGTTTGGGAAGTCCGGGGGGGTGGGGGGGTTTTTGATTGGTTATTGTGTTTACTTATGATTGTTTTTTATGATGGAAAAAATAAATAAAATTTCTTATAAAAAAAAAAATGAAATGGATGTCCCATACTCAGCTTTAAATGGTAAAAAAAACCATCTCTAACACGTGTTCCCAAAGACTTCAGTTTGCCATACTATCAAGAAAATATGGATGAAGATCAGAAAGAAATTCTCTCCATGTTGAAATCAATACAAGAGACTATTGCTTTAGCTCATGATGAGACTAGAAATAACCCAAAGGAGATAAAAGAACAATTTTCTAATCCAAATTTACAAACCCAGAACATGACTACAAAGAAGGAACTAGCAACCCAGAAAATAGAAGGAAAACTAGAGGAAGCAGATCCAAAGATTGAGGACCTAATGGAAGGAACCAACTGACAGATTCAGACAACTGAAGAATTAGAAGATGGAGCAATAATATCGGAAATGGAAAAGAAATCTTACCAATCAAGAATTCAGGACAAATTCGAGGAAAAGGAAGAAGAACTGATTGAATGGAAGATAGAGCTGTTAAGAGAACTGTGAAGAATTGGAGAAGGAGGGAGGCTGTTTAATATATATCAATGGGTTTGTTCTTCCAAAAATACTTTAACCAAATGGTCATTCTTATTCCAAATAATATATACAAAAACAGGAAAAATTACTTGATAATTCAGATGCATTGACTTGGAAAGTTAGTTGGCAAAGGAAGAAACCTAGAGTAAGAATGAAGAAAACAGAGGTTTTGATCCATTAGATGGGATATTATATTATTTAGATGTTTGAATATGGTGGAGAATAGATAATTGCTAGAAATAGAAGTACTATCATAACTAGAAAGATAAGATTTGTAAGGAGAATAATAGATTTTGGTGCAAGAAGGGAAACAGGAAAAGGCTAAGAAGTTTGAATAAGGGAAGCTTTTGGTTACCCAAATATAACTTACTTTGAAATTATAAACAATAGAGACATTTTGAACACTGGTGGGAAAATAAAATTTAAAAAAGCAAAAACAAGATACTGATTGAACATATGGATATTAAGTACAAATGCAATTAAGATATGTTTTGGTTAGAAAAGTAATCTAAAACTGATATTATTGATGTTATGAGAAAAATTTAACAAAGATGTTGATATTCAATTATATATTTATTAATAACAATAAGAATTGTATTTGCCTAGTGTGGGAAAACAGGTACTACCGGAAGAAGAGAGGAAACATTTGATGATGTAATATTGGATCTAGATTGAATAAGTTAATATATACCACTGAATTACTAATGGACCCAGACAACATGTTGTCTATTAAGTATTTGATTGTAAAACTAAAAAATTAATAAAATATTTATTAATAAAAAAGACATGTTGGGATATTTGGCCAAAGGGAAGATATTCACAAAATTAGACCTGAGGGGGACATACTATTGAGTAAGAATCAAGGAAGGCAACAAGTGGAAGACTGCCTTCAACTGCCCCCTCAGAAGCTACCAATTTAAAGTGATGCCTTTTGAACTATAGGGGGCCCCTGCTGTGTTCATGCAACTCATAAATGAGGTGCTACATGAGCACTTATACAAAGGGATTTTAGTGCACCTGGACCATAAAAATTTAGAAGCACTGAAGACCACTTGCAAGCTTTCTCCCAAACAAGTCTGATGAGTTTAGTACTTCAAAATATTTGACTTTGAATTAAAGTACATTCTGGGGGGAAAGAATTTTCTTGCTGATGCCCTGTCCCACATGCCCTAGTACAAGAGTACTTGGGAGGAGGTGGTGAGCTCCATTGTTCCCAGTAGGCAATAAGCGGCACAGGCTACAACCAGGCAGCAAGAGAAGAAGAGGAGCTCACCTCCCATGGACACATTTGCCCAACAATTGAAACAAGAGCCGCAGACTAACGTGTGGTTTATGGCTCATCAGAGAGAGTTGACTATGAGGGATGGGCTGGCATGGAAGGGGGACACTTTGGGTTCCTGAAGATGGTACATCACGCCAATTATCAATTCTGGTGGCCAAAGATGAAGACATGTGGGAAGCTGTGCAGTCTGTGCGGCCAGCAAGAGACTACCAGGGAAGAGTCCGGGACTGTTGCAGCAGCTGGCTGATCTTACCAGACCCTGGGAGGAGATAGCCATGGACTTTATAGTGGAGCTACCGAAGAGTGGGGGGAAGTACCGTGATTCAGACTGTGATAGACCTATTTTCCAAGCAAGCCCACTTCATTGCATGGGCTGGACTCCCCTCAGCCCAGAAGCTAGTGAAGATGTTTTTGCATCTACCAGCTAGTGGAGTGCCTAAACACATCATTTCAGTTTGTGTGGTCCAGTTCACTGCTAAATTTTGGAGGGAGTTTGTAAGAATGATTGGGTCCTCCCGGGAGCTCAGTTCTGCTTTCCATCCAAGTACGAATGGATTGGCAGAAAGAGCTAATGCAATAGTGGAGCAGTACTTGCATTGCTATGTCAACTACCAGCAAACAAACTGGGCAGAGCTTTTGCCATTTGCAGAGGTAGCATATAACAATGCAGTACACAGCAGCACTAGTTTCACTTCATTTAGGTTAGTCACGGAGGTGGAGGTATCGTGCCAATACCAGAGTGCCCACAGGAGCTTCCCTCCTCGAGTACCCTAAGCGACAGGGTGGGTTCGTTCCAACAGGTTTGGAGCGATACAAAGAGGGCTTTAACTAAAGTGGCCAAAAGTCAGAAAAAGCAAGCAGACAAAAAACAAGCTCCCCAGGAAATGTACCATGTAGGAGATAAAGTGTATCTGTCTACCAAGTAGCTTAAGCTGAGACAAACTTGCAAGTTAGGGCCGAAGTATATAGGTCCTTTCCGCATCGTAAAAGTCATTAACCCAGTGACAGTTGAGCTAAGACTACCAAGATTATTGGGTATTCCATTGCAGCTTACTGAAACCATATAGGGCAGTGGTGGCAAACCTATGGCACGGGTGCTAGAGGCAGCATTTGGAGCCCTCTCTGTGGGCACACATGCTATTGCCCCAGCCTTGCCTCTCCCTGTGACCCCCTCCTCACCAGCAACCCTCCTGGAGAAGAGTCACCCCTGAGCGTGGCCCATGCAGCCAAGGACATGGCAGCCAGGCAGCGTAGATAAGTCTCATGCCCCATCACACACAGTTGATGATGCGGGGTGCAGGCAGAGGGTGTGGCTGCCAGGGCACTGCTGAGTGATCTGTGACGGGCCCTGGAAGCGATGAGTGGCCCTGCGGGCAGGCGGGGGGGGCGGAGGGGGCCGGGGCAGTTTTTGGGCACTCGGTCTCTAAAAGGTTCGCCATCACTGATATAGCAGATTCACGATGAGACCAATAGGAGAGGCTGCCCCAGCCCCAATAGTGGTAGAAGGGGAAACACATTATGAAGTTTCTCCTGTAAATAGCCATTTACAGGAGAAATTCCTAATGGGAATGAAGCTTTGTAGAATTTTACCCTAATTAATCAAGATTGCTTAGCCATAGTTGCTTCTGGATGGGGAACAGGGAACCATGAATTTTTAAGGCCCTCAATAGGAACATTTCTTGGTGATAAACCCACATTAAGAATATATGTTCAATTCCTAATTTATTAACTGATCATCTTGAACTTAGATTGTTGCACATAAATTGACTTAGATATTGCTGCTGCTGCCAGACTCCTTGCAATTCAAAGGGTTCTTTAGCTATGAAAGTTTTTGCTCCTGGATTATTTTTAACTCTTATATTTGTTTTGGTTTTTGTCTTGATATTTTATTTATCACAGCAGGTGGCAGCATTTATATAACTTGATTGCACTTGGAAAAAACTAAACAGGATCAGACCTGATATTAGATGGGAGATCAGCATGAATTCCCAGGAGTACATACTAAATTGGGAAGTCAAGAAAGCATCCTGAAAAAATGTATTGATAAATCACGTATTGATAAATCACCTAGAAATTATTGCTAAGAAAGTTATTGGGCATGTCCCTGCAATCTCCAAGAACTGAATTTAAGAAAGATCTTGCTTTTTTGTTATAGAAATAAAATATAATCAGTCAGTCAATGTATAGCCTGAGCTGATTTTTTAGAGATATAACAATCTTACCCAGAATGATCAAATACAATAATGCAAGTTTATTTATTAATTATGAATATGCAAATCTTTTAAAAAATGACACCATTAATAAGAATTAAGTTATAAAAGTATGGGTCTTTAAAACAAGGGACCTCACTAACTTTATTTTTTTAGATCTAATATGGATAGTGATCTAAGGATTGTTGAATTTCATATATAAGTGAATTGAAAAGTGGCATAATTTGAAATATACAGTATAGTTGATATAATAGAGATTAATTATGACAAGTATCATTTGAAACACATTAAAATAATACTTTCCTGTATGTTTGTAAATTAATGACTTCCAGAATCAACATCATCTTCTCCTGATGATGTTGATCATAATGAGAAGTAAGTAATATATTTTTCAGGAATAAACTACACTTAAAATAATGTTCTTTATTGTTGATCTGAAATCAATGCAGACCTATTAAAGTGGCCTAATTAGAAAAACAGGTTGGCTTTATTTGTAGCAAATAAACGAACACTATAATAGGTATAGTGAAAGCCTGGTTGAGTTCAAGAAGAAACAAAATAAAAATACATAAAACAATGTATATTACCTGAATGCAGAAGTTTGTGAACACATTGTTTCTGCTGTGAAAAGCAGGCCACATATAGAGGCGTTCCTAGGTGAGGAACATGTAGATCAACTTCTATGCCCCAAGAAATCAGCAATTCTAGACAATCACTGTGACCTAAAGAAAGCATAATGTAATTAATCCCTAAAACAAAATCTTAATTTGCTAAATGGCTGATATATTTTGTAACCTACTTATTTTAATACTTACCTCTGCTGGCTGCTTCATGAGTTGGTGAAGGAAGACACGTTTCCTGTTGAATTTTTGCACCATATTCCAACAAAAGTTGTATACAAGATGCACTCCCTCTTGAGCAGGCATTAAATAAGGGTGTTATCCCATCAATAGTTGTGGCATTCACCTAAAATATTGGTTAGATTTATTGGTGGGGATAAAATACATGTTTACAAATCATACTTTGTATTTATTGCTCTATCTTGTATCCAATGTGGTTTGGAGATACGAAAAGGCTAGGGTTTGCAGTGTGACATTTTGACACACATTGCATAATGTTCTCATCTCAGGATGTACCAAACACTTATGTACCCCTTTTCCCATGCTCAAACCATTCAGAATGCAGTTAAGTAAAGATTACATATACTTAATTACATACTGTAAGGAAATGTCAGTTTAGTAAAAAAAAAAAAAAAAAGTAATAAGCTAGACTTCCAGTAAAATAGGTAATAATACATATTACCTAATGCTTCTAAGAAAAACTTTCTACCTTTTAACCACAGATGATGTGATCACTTACATTTGCTCCTGCTTCGAGAAGTATCCGAGCACATCCTACATGATCTCCAAGGCATGCCTCGTGCAATGGTGTCACTTGATCAATGGTTAAAGCATCTACATTGTATCCCTAAGCACAAGACAAGAAATTAATAATCACAATGAATCTCCTAACTTTTCAGTTTCTTAATGAAAGATAAATTACATAACAAGAAGTCTTTATTCAATATTTGTGTAATATACACATTTAACAATTATTCAAAAGGAATGTAATTACAAAAAAATTGTATAGTTCAGGACATTTGGGGGTTTGATTAAATACTGTAAACCATGGTATAAAACTATGCTTGTTGTTTACCAACTAATTACAATTACTATTTTTACAGTTATCTGACTTACTTTTTGTTTTTTGTCCCATGCCAGATTTCAGAAGAAATCTGATAGAAGTTCAAAGCAATTCTGTCTTTCAGTATGTGGAAATAGAATCAATCACACAGTGCAATTGCTTTGTCTGTCAATAAGACAGTCTGAGTTGTGCTACAACATGGTTTATTTAACAACAGATTATAGGAGAAATCAGTGATTCAGTTCAGGATTCTCATACTTTTTTCTGAACCTCATTTAAATGTGGCTTTCCCTCATTGTCAGTGACAGCTGGACACAAGCAACTTTACCATTTGCACTGTTTATTAACTAAACTGTATCATATAAAAACTATGGTCCTCTAGAAATGCTCCCGGGCCCACACCAAGAATCACTTCTAGTTTCTAGAAGTTATAGAAACAGATTCTACTTCATATATAATGCCAAATCATAAAGTTTGGCTTATAAATCTGAGTCCACAGATTGTGCTAAGCTAAAACCAAACCACCTTAGGACTATATGTGAACCCAACCATACTGTCATTTCTGGCTTGCTCAATAAATCATGCCATACAGTATATGAATGCAAATAGTCGAAGGCTACGGTTCTGCATTGTCAAAATCTAAGTCACAGCAACAAAGAAAGATTTAGCAAGGATTCTCAAACTCTTGGTTGTGACTCCTAAAGAAAAAAAAACCCAGCAAATTTGAAGGGAGTTATAAGTTTTTGGGTGACCAGGAAGATTGATAGATAGTTGAGCAAGGAATACAATATCTAAGAGATCTGACTCCCCGAAAAGATAGGAGGCAAGGAGTTTGTGTCATATATAGTACATGACTGACAGGGAGAAGCAGCTCATCCCAAGTGGGGCCCCATTCTTAGAACCAGGAAGAGAAGGCATTAACAAGCTCACCTCTTTGAGTATCTCTAATTAAAGCATTGCCAGGTGATGAAGCACTGAAAGCCAATTGGCTTGTTCAGGACCAAGGCTTCAGCACCGCTTTCCCCACATCCAGCTAGTTCAGATATGGGAAGGACCTCAGATCCCATCATCTTTCAGCTGGCTGGAGGGCTTGGCCTATAGAACCTCTAGAATTGCAATGTAAAAATCCCAAAACTATTGGAGAAATGGTAATTCTGCCAGTGTTGTTGATGACAATGTAGTTAGTGGCATCATTACTCATGTTACTCATAATTACATACGTTTATGACATCAGGGGAGTCCCAGCACTGCAAATTTGGAGATCCTCTGAAATATAGAAAATTCTAAAGTTTTACTGCCATGGGAACTTAGAGGTTTTCAGGCTTTTAGCTATTTTAAACATGAAAAGATGCCAGTCTGTACTTAGAATAGTTTTGAATTGACTTGTGGCATGGGGATCTGCATGTTGAAATTGTTTTAAGTCACCTTAAAGGTTTGCAGAAATATGGGATGTAACTTTAATAAGGAAAATAAAAATACAGTAAAAAACCTGCTCCACAATTTAAACTAGCCATAAATTGCACAGAATATCTACAGCAAATATTTAGTATATGAAGGGCAGTGACTGGGTATTAAAGTTTCAATAGTAGAAGGCAGGGGGCTAACTAACATATCCTTCCTCATCAATTTTATTCAAATAGGAAGTAATTCTTGGATAAATTGGAATAATGAGCAGTTCTGGGTTGTATAGCCTACAGAATCATATTAAAGAACTATCCAATTTAAGACCAAATTCACATTGTGCTTAAGGTAATCTCATTCTGTAATCATATCCTGATTTTGGTTTGCTTTGTTTAACTACAGCCTTGTGCTTTTTGTTCGTGTGGTTGTTATTTAGTTTTAAAAATCACATTGGTTGGCTGTGTCCTGCAAATGTAGCTAAAATACTGATTGCAGAAGAGAGGTACATACAAATCTCTATCACAAAATAAAGCTCATGTGCACACTTAGCAGGAAACCTTTAAGAACAATGTGAATTAGATGATTTTATCACCTATGCCTGGATAGCAATTATTTGGTTAGTTTTTCTATTGTAAAACTGGTAGTGTTCAGAATCCTAAAACACTATGCCTGGATATTTATTACTTCATTAAAGTTGGCGCTTGGAAGGAATGTATCTAATTCTGATCTGTTTGTCATCATCACTGTCATATACTGTATGCTATGGTAAGATTCTTTGACCTGTATAAACAAGTAAAGAAACCACAGAAACCAAAACTTGTAATTAATGAACAATGAAGTAATATCATTTTCATGTTTAACAAAGCAGTAAAAATGCTTTTACATTTGGCAGAAATGAACATTGATTTTAGTTACATTTTCACATTTTACCTGTGTAATTAATGTTTTGAGAGAAAGAAGACGCCCTTGGCTTGCTGCTTCATGCAGGGGTGAGCGATCTGCCCAAGAGCCTATGGAACAATACCATGGCATAGTTTAAATTACATAAATAATTGTCATTAATGTAAAAGAACTGATACAAACAACATACCGTACATAACTATCAATATACAGGTAGTCCTCTAGTCCTCCTGCCCATTACAATTATAAAGTTATGTGAATCACATTAAATGAACAAGCCCTCCTCCCTGTTCTCCCCAATTCATTCGTTAATCAAATACGTTAAGTGTGCATGGGATATCTCAGAGGTAGGAAAGACCATGGAGGGCCCTAATGTAGAAACAAGACCACTTGCCTCCAGTCACCCAAGATCTTGCCCATCTACTGAGATATCTCATGCTCCTTTTCTCACCCCTTGGGGTCCCCACAACTGCTTGGGGCTTTTCCACACCAACACCTTATCATCGATTGTTTACTTACGTTTCAAAGAGCTCCAGAACTCCAGAACAGGCTGGGCCACATGGTAGAAAAGGCAATGTTTTTTTCAGATTCTGGCAAAGCTATTTTCCTTAAATCTCATGCTCTTACACATTTTTGCTCAGAGAATGGAATCGTCTGTAAGAACACAAGATCTATTGCATCTTTGAAAGTCTTGTCTGGTCCCAGCCTGGGCGGTGCACAGGCACCCTCTGCACACTGCTGGGCAGTTGGTTTGAATGAGCTGCTTCGGGGATTGTGGTGCGAAGGTGGCAGCAGCAGTCAATCAATGTGGGGCATTTTTCATGCTGGTTTTGACTGGAGGAAACAGGACTGTGAGGTGGATGAGCAGCTGTAGCAGGAGAGTGAGCCAGAGCAGTGGCACTGTCACTGGGGACACCATGCCTGGGAGTCTGTGCCGTCTGTGCTTACTTGCCTCCTGTGGTGCCTTGGGTGCCAGAGCCCTGGGTGCACTCCTGGTGTGGCGGGCAGGTACCCCACAGCTGCCTGTATCACTGGAAGGGTCCTCTCACTCCAGGTGATCGCAGCAGCCTGTAGGCACTTCTCTGCCCACCTGATCTTCCCCAGGGCACACCCGGCAAGTGTAGGATAGCTGGTGCATCAAGCTCTCCATTTTTCCATCCATCTCCATGGTGGTGCAATTGATGAGGCCCAAATGGGTTCAGCGCTCCGCTGGGTGGCCAGCATTTAAGAAAAAGGTGGCCGCTTTTTTGTCATGTGGCCCAGCGTGTTCTGGAACTCTGGAGATCTTTGAAAAGTAAGTGAGGGACCAGTACTGGATTGGGGAGGAGCACATGGAACTGGGTGGGCTAGCAAAGCTGGCCCAGTGCCTGTGGAAACCCGGTGGGACAGGATGGGGGGGTGAATAGGCAGGGGGTATGTTTCAGTGTCTCTGTGATCAATCGTAAGGGCAAATAACTGCTGTGGTGTTGCAATATATGTAACGTATGTATTGGGAAGGGTGTCATAACTTTGAACTGTCACTAAGTGAATTGTCATAACTCAAGGACTACCTGTATTATGAAAGCTCTCATTGTCATGACCTTTACGTGGGTGAAACAGTACATCACAGGGCAACAATGTTTGAACCAAGGTACCTCCAAAGGGCTAATTCACAGAATATATGTAAAATCTGGGACCTGTGACTCCCTAGGGAATAAAATTTGAGAACATTGTGGCTGCTTCTGTGCTACTAACTGCTGCTGTGCTGGCTGGCCTGCTGCTGAGGTCACATCGTTTTTATTTTCATTATTTCATTTCCTGGCCAGTTTTGCAATCTCTCAATCCTTCCCCCATCTAGCAGTAGGCACTTATTTATTTGCCTGCTAAAAATAGAAAGGAAAGGAAAGGAAAGGAAAGGAAAGGAAAGGAAAGGAAAGGAAGGGGAAGGAAGGAAGGATTTCTGATATTCCCTGCCAGATCCCCACAAGGAAACTCAATGAGGAAGCCTGTAGGAAATTGGAAGTTGCTCCTGCTCCCACTGATTTTGCCCAATCATTCTGTTTCTTTGTTAAAGAAGGAGGTATCTTTGAAACAGTGACCCAATGGGCCTTGGGTTATCTAGTTCTTACTAAAACTAAATCTCATCCCTCAGTATACATCTGGTGAATCATTCTCTGAATGGAAAAAAATGATAATGGCATTCTTTTTTTTTTATTTATCCACACATGGAAATGCTTTTAAGGTTGTAAACCTAAATATGAATGAAATATTAGAACTGAGCTGCAAGTTCTATTAGCTGCAAGTCAGTTAATGGAATTCACTTAATATAGTGCTATAGCCAGAGGGAAATGGCCCCTATTTCTTTTACCATATCAAAATACTGGTGTGTCTTTCAGCTCTTGCCCTATTGCGCAAACTAAGCAATTCAGTGCATGGGTTCAAAACATATTGCTAAATAGCTGAAGGAAAATCCAGAAATACATATGCACTTTCCAATGCTCATTCCCTGCAGTAAATAAAACTCTTCTGATTTAAATTAAATGTAGATGTGTACATAATATTTGTTTTTAACACTGCACAAAATTCTACCACATGTTATGGTAAAAGGTACAATAAGCTATTTATACCAAAAAATGAAATATAAGCCACATATTTTGCAAAAGATTATTGTGTGAGCAACAGATCCCAAGATGTATGATTGCTATTTACAACTTCCTTCATCCATCCTCTGCAGAGAATTCATTACACTTTTGTGCTAATTTGTTTTACTGCCAAATGAGCTTTAAAAGCTGCAGCATTGGGGAAAGCATATCGAGCGTATAAAGTGCCTGATTAGTATCCCTGAGGCATTCTGAGCTTGTACTGGGACTATTAATTTTATTAAAAGTAGAATACTGCAGTCAAAATCTTTCTGTTAGTTTTCATTTTCCCTTGCAAAACATATTGATTCATATCCTTGCTAACTTTCCTGTTTCCTCCCATTCCTCCCTTTAAATGTACATGCTGTGCTTCTTAGAAAATCATGGCATATGTCGTTATTGCAAAGCCATGAAATTCATTTTCTCACAATGTCAGGATAGAATCCAAAACTCTGCACTGAACTAAGCCTCAGTGTCTAGTGTCTCTATTATAGCTATACTAAGAGCAAATATAGACTAGTTATCTCACTTCAAAAGTATTTATTCCCTGTGGGCCTCCTTTTTCTATTAATTAGAGCTAAAGATTATCTCCCATATTTTATATTGGATTTTAATCTGCCTTGCAAGTAGCCTGTTATGGTTACATTTGCAAAGAAAAAGGGATTGTAAAATGTTCATATAATTCATATGAGAATACTGTAAGTTACTTCTTGGAGGAATGTTTCATCCTGCATTCCCTCCTCCTTTCTCCATTTAATTTCTACAGGCTATTGGAAGGACAAGACCATAAAGCTGTACTCTGACAGAAAATGCCGAAACAATCATGATTTCTAAACTTCTAACCCAAAGTCCAACAAGACACTGAGATTTTTGCCAGTTATGTAATGAATTCTTGTAGTTTAATGATTGGTGGCAGAATTATAAGTACCCTAGAACAGGGATCCCCATCCCCCAGTCCGTGGACCAGTACCGGGCCACAGCATGCCAGCAACTGGACTGTACAAACAAGCAAAGCCCCACCCGGGAGATGCTGGCAGCACACAAAATCACGCCTCCTCTGGTCCGCGGAAAAACCTCTCTCCACGGAACCGGTCCCTAGTGCCCAAAAGGTTGGGGGGCTCTGCCCTAGAAGTAACAGAGGTGTGATTTAATATACAAAAGTCTTTCAGTACAGTACTTGATTTTATCAAGCTTTCACAGCATGGCATGCACTGAATTGTAATGGAGAGAGAATCAAGTTCCAATTCAGTCTAGTTCTTTAAATTTAAGGAGAAAAGTATTAAAAGGATTAGTTGGAGGGAAAATACAAATCTAATATTGTTAGTCTAACATTTTCTTATGATTCTTTTTTCACTGATTGAAATGCAAAGTACCAGTGGCTATATTTAGATTCTGCATTGCAAGTCATATGGTATCTAATTTACGAGGAACAAGAGCTGCAGTTCGGTAAATATTGCAGAGATCAAAGTTAAAATGCTACCATAAACAGAAAAAATAAGGAAAGTTTTAAACATTGTATACAGTACCTAAATCTCCATCTCCCCATGGCATTTCCAGCCAATTTTGACTATAAATCCTGCTCATTTTAAATAAGAAAAACTGTCTCTTTAGCTGATTCTTGTTAATAACACGTCAACCATATTTGGAAAGAGCTTCTTGCACTCAGTATAAAATGAACTTTCACCTGTAAAGACACTGCAGAAAACAAATATCCAAAGACCTAAGTTTAATATTTCAGCTTTCATTGCTCAGCCCTGTATAACCGAAATGCTATCTGCAACATTGCATAATTTAAAATATATACAGTATTTCATTTTATAATCAACTATGTGATCTAAATCAGTGGTTCTTAACCTTTTTGAATGAATCGCCCCCTTGAGCCAATGAGGAAGTTGTCATCGCCCCCCTCCCCCAACATAACCTCTCAATCACAACTTTGCAATACTGCAGACTTCTTAAAATGTGAAATGAATTTATATAAACTTTCATTTCTCTCCCCCAGAATAAAGTTAATAATTTTGTGGATGTGAGGGCTGGGCAAGGTTTGAATATACAGAGACTTTTAATAATTACATTTTAATCTATATATCACAGGGTAGTCAAGCTACGTAGAACCACAACTGCTAGCTTGAAATGAGTGAAAATGAGAGAT